GGGCTGCCCCCATCCGCCCTCGTGACCAAATCGCAGGTCCACTGCGGACCCCTGAGAGACCTCTGGGCTGTTCCCATCCGCCCTCGTGGCCGCTGCTCTCTGGGACCAATTCCCTCTCATGGTATGTGTGGAAGGTGGGCCCCAGGTTTTCAGAGCTTTTCCTGCTTTTTTTTGGACACTTTACGACACTACTAAGGTGCATCTTCTCGGCAGCCCTGATGAGGTGGGGCGGGAATGAAGCCTCCAGGGTCTGAGGCCGGCTCACCTGAGACCTTTGCCTCTGCTGGGGGAGCGTGCCTGAGACCCCACCCTGCCCTCACCTGGTCCACATCCCCTCTTACCCAAAGGTGAACCTGTCCACACTCCTGTCCACATCGGTGGCCTGGTCCTCGAGGGCCTCAGGGTGGCGGATGGACACGCGGACCCCACTGACTGTGGCGTGGTGGATCCTGTGCAGGGCCCACTGCACCGAGATGGTGCTGGCCGTCACATTGGTGACCTCGAAGCTGTCCACAGGGCGGGGTCCTGGGGGGAATGGGCTGCTCAGCAGGGGCAGGCCCCTTCCTGCACCCGGAGCACAGTGGCTCAAGACCAGGCTTGGGAGGGTGCTGGGGGCCTCAGGCCTAGGAGAGGGCGTCCCATTGGCTGCTCAGGGCACTGGGGCTGGATGGGATGCCTGGGCTCCGGCCCGAGGCTGATGGCTGCAGAGGCCCACCGTGGGCCAGCCTGCTTTGCCGGGACAGGGGTCTTAGTCTCCATTTAGATGTGACAGTGACATGGCAGGGAATGGGCTGGAGTGCCTCTGGACGAGTGACCTGGGCCTCCCCGCTTTTCCGTCCTAGGAGGATGGACACACAGAGCTCCCAGCAACTGCAGGGAAGCGGCCACTTGTGAGCTCTGCTCCACCCCCAGCCAGTCTCCTCCGAAGCGGGCGTGCCACTGCTGATGTGCCAGGCAGAGCAGAGGGCAGCCCCTGGCTCCGGGCAACCCAAATAGTGGACGGTGGTTCCTTCCACCCACCACAGCTGGCTAGAGTCCCCCTCTGCAGCGGGCAGGGTGGGCGCCGTCCTCACTCCAGATGCCCTCTGAGGGCAGACCTCACAGGGGCTTCTTCCTAAAACGGCCCAGGTGAGCCACCCCAACTCGGCCCCTGGCGGCTCCTGCTGCCGCCTGCTCGGTGCCACCGCACGTGAGTCCCAGGCTTCCCGCTGGCTTAGGTGTGTGCGGTGTCCTTGCTGTGTTGAGAACTCCAGCCCCTTGGTGGTCAACTGCTGCAGAACAGGCCCCTCTGGGCCCCTGGGTGGGTTTGAGCTGCCCTGAGTGACGCCTTTGGCATTGGCATCAAGCTGGGGTCCAGGCATGGCCGGGAGATATTCCTCCCGTGAGAGCCGCCTGGTCCAGTGTCCACTCCATCTCCACACACCCGCCACGCTACCCATAGTTTCACCACACTCACATGGCTGCCCCGCAGGGCCCAGCCTGGTGCTCAGGCCACAGAGTCCCCGGCCACCCACCCACCCATCCCACCACTCCGCAGCAGCCCACGCTCTCAGCACCTCTTCCTCTCCTTCAGCCTCAGCACCCCTCCCCCATTCTTGCTCCTGTGTCTGGAGGGCACAGGCACGTTGGGTGAGAGTCCCACGGCCCTGCACCCACCTTGGTTCCCGCCCAGCCTGAGAACCCACCTAATGCAGCCGGCTCCATGGAGGGCCAGCCCTCTGCTGTCTCCCAGCCCTGCCCATCTGTCCACGGCCATGTTCTAGGGCGCCTTCCCCCTCCTGGGACTCCCTCCCCCTCCTGGGACTCCCTCCCCCTCCTGGGACTCCCTCCCCTCTTGGGACTCCCTCCCCCTCCTGGGACTCCCTCCCCATCCTGGGACTCCCTCCCCCTCCTGGGACTCCCTCCCCCTCCTGGGACTCCCTCCCCTTCCTGGGAATCCCTCCCACTCCTGGGACTCCCTCCCCCTCCGGGGACTCCCTCCCCCTCCTGGGACTCCCTCCCCTCCTGGGGATCCTTCTCAGTGGCACACAGCCAGCCAAGCCCCAATGCCTTCCCTAGAGCCCCCACCACCTCCAGCTCCCCTACATGGCAACAACCCCCTGGCTGAGCACAGCCTGGGCCTCCCCTGCTCTCTCGGCAGCTCAGGCTCCGAGGAGGCTCCTCCCTAGGACCCCCTTTCAGGGTTGCATCTGGCCACAGCTTTCAGTGCCAGACTCTGGGTCTGTCATTTCAGCCCCACGGCTCTTCCAGACTGAGCCACGGACGCCTCCTCTTAGCACGTCCCAGCGCCCACCTAACCCTGTGAGCACCCCCTCAGGCTCCCCCCAGGCCTTCCGAGCACCCAGAGCCCCAGCCCCTCCAGACCCGCCCCCGTGGCCCAGCTCCTGCACCAGCTCCTCCGCAGTCCCCCTTCCTGGCGCCAGGCCCGGGGGCTGTGCTGCTCCCACTCCTGGCTCTATTCTCCGTGCCTGATCCCACGTGGGCCCAAGGCCAGCTGTCTCCCCAGCGCTCTGTCTGCAGCAGGACGGTGCCTCCAACCCCGCAGCTCAGCTGTCTTGCGCTGGGAGAGCTGGGAGGTGGCGGCACAACAGCCACCCTGCGGTGCTGGGGTCGGGCGGGCCGGGCTCAGGGCACTCACGCGTGCGGGCCAGCAGCAGCGCAGGCCTGCTGATGTCATTCTTGTTGTTGGTGTTACGCTTGACCGAGAAGACGGAGATGTTGTAGGCCTTGCCGGCCCCCAGGGCCCGGAGCTGGTGTGAGGAGCGGCTCCTGTCCACAAAGTCCGTGCGGCGGTAGGCGCCGTCGGAGGAGACGTACGTCACCGCATAGCCGTCCAGCATCTGCCTGACCGCTGGGCCGTTGGGCGGGTTCCAGGAGATGGAGACCCCACTCTCCTCCACCCTGTCCATCTTGAGGGCCGTCGGTGGGAGGAGCTCTTCAGGGTTCGGGTTAAAACAAGGGCGGACCGGTCAGCTCTCAGCCGTGCAGCCTGGCTCCCGTCGGCGGCTCTTGGGCCTGACACAACTGTCGCCACCAGATCCCTTCTGTCCTCGGCGAGGAACCTCCAGCAGGGCCACGCTTGCATGGGTGACAGTGTTTCCAGCCCACCGGGGGATTCTGTCCCCTCCCTGTTCCTCGGGGAAGGGGCCTGGTTGAGCAGTGGCTGGATGCTCTGCCCTGGGTCCAGGGAGAGGGGACCCCACAGCTCCCCCATGAGGCAGCCTCGCCACCCACCTTTGGCGCAGTCCTGGCCCGTGTAGCCCACTTTGCAGGTGCAGCTGTGGGAGCCGTTGGTGACCAGGCAGTAGCCGCGGCCCCCACAGGGGCTGGAGAAGCAGGGGTCGCTCACTGAGGGGACAGAAGGCGGCAGTGAGTGCTGAGGCATGCCAGTCCTCCACTCCAGCCCGCCCTTGCTCCTGGGGCATTGGGTCCCTCCTGTGTGGGTGTGGAGGGGCAGGGGGTTCCTGCCTCCCTTCGGTTCCGCCACCTTTGCTGCCCTGCGGGGCCCTCCAGCCTCCACACAGGGGAGTGGACACTGGGCCAGGCCAGGCCTCTGCCCCCATGACAGTCCTCTTGAGGAGGGGAGGTCAGTGGTCAAAGAGGCCTCATCAGGGGGTATCCCACTAGATCAGGGAGAATGTTCCAGATGGAAGGACAGCGAGGGGCCTGACCCGGGTTTGCAACTAGCTTGGCCTGTCCAGGGGCAGCAGGGCCTGTGTGTGGATGTCAGCCCCACCCCTGGGTGCGTCCTTGGGTGACGAGGGGTGTCTGGGGGGTGAGTGCATGAGACAGGGATGGTTAGAAGGCAGCATTGTGGGACCAATGCAGACAGGTGGAGGGCCACTGGCCTGCGTCCTGAAAGGGGATTCCGAGGAGATGGGCAGCCCCTGGGGAGCAGGTGGGCCTGCCCTACCTGTCTCGCAGTGGTAGCCGAAGAAGCCCTCCGGGCAGACGCACAGGTAGGCCCCGCCGCCGCTCTCACACCGGCCTCCGTGCTGGCAGGGGCTGGAGTCGCAGGCATCCACCTCTGGAGAACACCCAGAGAGTGGGCCCAAGCCGCAAGGGGGGAGTCTGGGGGAGGGAGGAGAGGACAGCGGGAAGAAGGGAAAGGAGGCGGCCAGGGGTAGAGGCCAGGACAGAGGGGCAGTGGGCAGGTCCCGCCCCTCAGCCTTCCCCACCCTCTCCCAAGGTGGCCACAGCCCTGGGGATCCCTATCCCAGGTGGCCTGCCCAGCACAGAACGTGGGGACGCCCAGCCTCCTCTCTGATCTTCCAGAGGCCAGGCTCTGCATGTGGGGCCCACTGGAGGGGAGCCCCTACCTGTCTCACAGCGGACTCCAGCGAAGCCTGCAGGGCACTGGCAGACAAAGGCCCCTGGGAGGTTCCTGCAGGAGCCTCCATTTCTGCAGGGCTGAGCTCGGCACTCATCCCTCTCTGCACAGAGAAGGGGTGTTAAGGGTGTTGCTGGCTTGGGTCTCAGGCACCGATCGGCCCCCAGGATTTTGTGCACTCCCTGGGGCTCTGCTCACCCCTTCCCTAAATGGGAGTCATTACTCTGGACACCTGCTTTCTCTTCCACCAGCCCACACCCGCCCCTCCTCGGGAGGCATGCCACCTCCACGCCTTCCTTCAGGTCACTCCGTGATGGGAGGCTCCCTGGGCCTTGCCCTCCCTGGAGCCTGCATTTCTTTCTCAGGCTTAGAGCCCTGGCGAGGTGGAAGGGTGTGCAGGGCTCACTGGGCAGGCCTCCCCTCCCCCTACTGGCTGGCAGCACCCACCAGGTGTCAGAGGCTGTGACCCTACCTCTCCGATGCCCACCTTCTCTGCGCCCCGAGGCCAGGCCAGCATTTCTCAGCTGGGCTCTGTCTCCCCAGGGGAGGTGCAGGAAGGGTTATTTGTAAATCTTTGTCTTGGATGTCAGAGCTTGCAGGGGCCCCAGAGAGCATGCAGCGGCCACCCTGGCCGTCCAGACAGAGACCTGTCCGGGGAACCCACGGCCTCAGGCACATGGCCAGTGTGCTGGAACTGCCGCCCAGTGGGGCCAGGGCCCTCTTACCCAGCTCGCAGTGGGCACCGTCATAGCCAGCGCTGCAGAGGCACAGGTACCCGGCGACGCGGTCCTGGCAAGAGCCTCCGTGCAGGCACGGCTGCGACCGGCACTCGTCAATTTCTGAGAGGAGAGAGGCCAAGAGTAAAGCAATGTGGCCACAAGTAAGCCAAACTGAGAGGCGCAAACTAGTTCTGAGGGTCTGGACAGAATTCGCTGATACGTCCTCAGTTACTGGAGAGGCGAGAGCCGGGGCGGGACACCCCTGGAGTCGGGGCAGGGCAGCAGGCCTGGGGCTCAGTGCCTGGCGGGCTGAAAGAAGATGCTGTAGGACTGAATTCCAGGGGCTTTCAGGCGGCAGGACAAAGGCCTCAGGTTTGGCAGAAAATCTCTCACGTCCCGTCTTGCCATTTCAATGTCTACTAGTCACCTATGAAACCAGAACATCTATGAAAAGTCTCTTGTTCTTGTTGCCCAGGCTGGATAGAGTGCCATGCACGATCTCGGCTCACCACAGACTCCGCCTCCCAGGTTCAAGCGATTCTCCTGCCTCGGCCTCCCCAGTAGCTGGGATTACAGGCATGCGCCACTGCGCCTGGCTCGTTTTCTATTTTCAGTAGAGACAGGGTTTCTCCATGTTGGTCAGGCTGGTCTCGAACTCCCGACCTCAGGTGATCTGCCTGCCTCGGCGGCCCAAAGTTCTGGGATTACAGGCCTGAGCCACTGCGCCCAGATGGGATAAATCTTTAGTTTTAAAGGATTCACCACAGGTTTCTTTTAAACTGGGAGTTGTGCTCCTGAATTTAAATGTTTAAAGTTTAATTTAATGCTTAAAAAGTAAATAAATGGTAATGGCTTGGTGACATCTGAGACGAGCAGCCACCTTGGCAGCCGGAATGGTAAATGGGCTCATCTGATCACACACCCCTCCTCTTCCCTTGTGTTAAGAATTTCTGGGGTATTCATTTCCTTGCCTTTTAAAAATTAGGTTTTCTGGCAGTAAAGTAAGTAATTAAGATTAGCTTTAAAATGTTATGAATTGCCTAAACAATAATGAATTTGTTTTTGTGGTTTATGAACTTTATTTATAGTACATCAGGACATATATTGTCTTCCCTCAGCATTATGTGAAGAAGAGAACTCATTTTCACTGCTAATTTTTGTATTTTTAGTAGAGATGGGGTTTCACTATGTTGGTTCACCAGGCTGGTCTCGAACTCCTGACCTCAGGTTATCCGCCCACCTTGGCCTCCCAAAGTGAGCCACTGTGTCTGGCCCCAACATTTTCTTTTTGATTTATTGATGTTTGATTTACTGAACAGCATTACATAGCGTGATTTATCATACTTCACCCATTCTCTTTGGCTGGGTCTTTGGGTTGGTTCTAGACTTTTTCCTTTTACAAAAAACATGGCTGTGTTTATTCTTTCCCATCTCCTGGTGCAGACGTGCAAGTTTTTCTCAGGTTGCTACCCGGAAGCGGAGTTGCTGGAACACGGCTGATGTAAATGATCAACAGCGGCAGACTGCTCACCGGGCAGATGAGCACACTGTTCTCAAAGCACCCCAAGCAATGTATCCTTCTCCACCACCCCCACCTCCCGGGTTCGAGCAATTTTCCTGCCTCAGCTTCCCAAGCAGCTGGGGTTACAGGCGTGTACCACCACGCCCGGCTGATTCCGTATTTTTAGCAGAGACGGGGTTTCTCCATGTTGGTCAGGCTGGTGTTGAACGTGTTGATCCACGTGCTCACCAGTATAGATTTTTCAGACTTCTGAAAATTTGCCAGCTGAATGTATCTCGTTTGCATTTTCCTGATTACTAATGAAATAGAATTCTCCTTTTTATGTCTGTTGGGCTTTTGTATCTCTTCTTCCACGAAATGCCTCTGCACGTGTTTTTCCTATTAGGTTGTTTTCTTACTGACTTATCCGAGTCCTTCACGTAGTCTTAAAACTATGTGTCTCGCTGGGCGCGGTGGCTCAAGCCTGTAATCCCAGCACTTTGGGAGGCCGAGG